TATATATATATATATATATATATATATATATATATAGACGATGTGTATGCGCATATAATATAGTGTGATACAGGAAGTGCAAAAAAGAACTATTCAGTCTAGCGTGGGAATCAGAAGCTTTAGTAGCATTTCGCAACAGAGAAAAATCAAATGGGGTAAGTTTTGCAGGTTCTTTTGGAGCTGCAATAGTGTGGCTGTGTTTTCTTGTATTGGCTGATTGTTGTCAGATGGAAGGGAAAAGAATTGCAGTGAGCGATATTTTTTCATTGGAATAGCCGTATGAGTTTGTTTGCGCGGGAATCTTTGAACGTAGAAGGTATATGGCGACTCTTTTGGGCTTGTTCGTATCAAGGAGGCAATGCTCAACGTAAGACTGTGTCGAAGTGCAGAGTGGGCCGATTTATATCTGCGTGCGGTTTTGCAAAAGAAGGGCTTCTGCGGACGTTATTTAAGGGTTGGAACAAGTTAGCTGTTCAAAAATGGTTTGTAATGTATCAATGTTTTTAGATCTGATTTGCAACAACCTGCTTTGAGCGTTATTTTGCAGTTCCCGATGTTCGTCGCTTAACCGTTGCATATCATCTTGTCGTTGGTTTAATACACCGATATAATAAATATTTTTGTCATCGAGTTCACACCTCAGTTTATCCGTAAGACTTTCCAGATTACTGAACAGTTATAATTTATTAAATTAGATGGTAGAAAATGGATGGTTTGACAGCTGTTGTGTTTTACTGTTTTGCTGATTATCGAAGGTTTAGGGAAAGTAGAGCTATTTATTTAAATGCTTCATATGTTATATCATTTAAACAAAAAAAGATGGATGGATTGATATACCTTATTTTTTCGTCTTTTACTGTAATCTGCTGTTCCAGAGTTTGTATTTCGGATGTAAGCTGAAATTTTGAATCATCAATACTTGTTTAAAATTAAAACCTGCAACCGCTTAACTGAACAGTAATATTACAGTCTTGTCTCTGTTTCAGTTTGGTGACCCTATCGCTTGGATTGGTTATGATGAAACACATCTAGATTTGTTGCGATTGCAGTTTATAGGCTTTATTTGCTAAAAAGAGAATGAGGCCAATAGACAGAAAGAGATCTCAAAATTTTGCTTGATGGCGTGATTTGTTCGCGTAAAATTTTGGTAGTAGTTTTAGAACTTAATATTCTTTAATATGCGCATTACACGAAATACTTGTTACTTCTTTAGCGAGATTTGCGAAGGAAATTTCTCAGGGTTTTTCAGAGGCTTTTGTAATTTACAAACCAATGTGGACTGTTTTTCGTGTTTCTCTGCTTCATTCCGTCTCTTTTCTAGTTCTTTTTTGATGTCGTCTAATGCATTGTTAAGTTCATCCTTCTCAGCTTTTAAACCTTCGATATCTTGTTTTAGCTTGCCGTTTCTGAAAAGTTGTAGAGGGGAAACTTGTTGACACTGATAGTAGTAATCACTCAATCAAGAAACATTATTCTGAGCAACATTATTTTTTGAATTTTTTCTTGTTTAGGTCTGCGTTTGTTCAACTTGCCGCTACTTTTGGTGAGGCATCAACTAGCATAGGAAGGAGACAAAATTAAGCCTGCGGAAAATTAAAAAGTGTCAACAAATGAGAACGTTAACGTGCTCACCTATTTCGTAGTTCTTCAAGCTGCAACTCCATAGTAATTTTAAGTTGTTCAAAGTTGCTGTCTTTTAGTCTAATTTCCTTCTCCAATCGTTGAACTCTGGAATGCAGCTAATCATAAACCAGAATTTTTTAGTTTTTGATAGTTAGAGTTTCGATCAGCAAGTTAATCAAAAAGGTAGAAACTTTCAATTGGTATTTATGTTCAAAAGATGCTTACTGATTATGCAACTGGGCTGAAGCTTCAGAGTCCAATAGATTAATCTGAAAAAGTTAAAAAAGAATATCTTTTAATTTCCGCTTAACAAATTTCACCCTTTCTTGTTTTGTTGTTAGTTTTGAATTATATGCGTGAGTAATTGTTATTCTATCAAGAACTGAGAAAGTTAGAGCAAACTGTTACTGGATTCAAGCTTCACCTGAGGTGTTTCCAAATCTGTCGGAAGCACTGCGCGATCGCTAAATAATTTAATATTTGTCAACCAAATTTACTCAGATAAATAACCAACTTTGAAAGCAAAATTCACGAGTAACATCATGAAATTATCAAAAGCTTTAAAAAAATATTTTGAAAAAAGTTTCTATTTGATTCGATCTGCAAGGTTTTTTGAATCTTTGCTTTTGCCTTGTTTTTTAAAACTTTCGTTTTACTAGGTTGGAGTAAGAATTTATGCAAGAAAAAAACCTCGCAGCTAGAGGACTTTCCACGTAACTAATGTTTCTCAATTGTTCCATTTCTTGTAAAAGCTCCTCGATTCTGAAACCGTTTTCATTTTTTATAACTTTTTGAATATTTAAGATAAAAATCGACTGAAAAACCTTAATTTTTTTTGTATAATTTTTGACAGTGAATAGAGTTGAGGTTGATTGCGCTTTTTAAATAAACTGTATTTCGCTTTCGCTTATTTTTCGATTCTATCTTGAGAAGTGAAAGTAATTTCTAATTCAATACCTTAATTCTGCTGAATGAAGTGCTTTACGGTTTTTATCGGCCTCCGACTGAAGGTTCTTGTTGGTTTTCTCGATGTCAGTTAGCCTGAAAAAAAAAAAAAAAAACATGTTGTGGTATTTCAGTTTTCACCTTTTAATTTTATGATCAATCTTATTCATTTTTGCTGTTATTGAATTTGCGATGTATTACTGTACATTGGGTACAACAGATTAACTTCAAAAATTAAGGTTTTGTAAAAGTTTCAAATTATGGTTTTACGTAAATAGCTCTTTGACACGGGAATATCTTAGTTGGTTTTGCAACGTTGATGAATAAAGCAGATTTTCAAACCAGCCACAGTTATAGATGTGATTATAGCAAAACTTGAACTTTAATACCTCACACTGTTACAATGCTTAAGACTTTTTCAATGTAAAATTTTAAGAAGTTTTAAAAATTTTTGCTCTAATCAGATGAACCTATCAACAGAGGGGAAGAAAAGAAAAACTGCAAAATTATTTTAAAAAGTTTCAAAATACAATTTATGACGTTAACAAATCAGCCATTTTATGACTGAGCAGTGGTCTTATGTGTTTTTTTAGTTTACATTTCCTTTTGGAAGAAAGGCTTACAAACAGGCAAGTCAAAAAAATTCATTCAGCAAGTAAATTTACAACCTGTGAAATTTTCTTTTTATATAACAATAAAAAAAATGGCACATAAATACAGTGGGGACAAATGCAAATTGACACACTTTTGTTTCAAGTTCTCGTTCTCCTCCTGCACTTTACGAAGGTCTTCCGATACCCTGGAGTTGATCTAAAAAATTTTACAATTTTGAACTTCTAGGT